GTTGCAGTCTTTTTTCGTTAAACCGGTTTTGTCCCAAATAGGGTTTTTGGCAAGGTTTTTAACGAGGCAACAATGGATCGTGCTAACTTAGAATAGAAGGTCGGTCATGAATTGGTGTTAAGGATCGCATCAACAGCATCCGAGGCTTCTCTCTATGATCAACCTCGAATATTGGGGGGCATTACCCTCGGATATCGACTTTAGCAAGGAAAGTACTTCATAATGGAAGGGCCTCGATAGGTAGGATATATTGCAAGGGACAAACGGTCAAACGGATCGTGTCCGCATAGATTACTCGAGCCCCTACACAAAGCATGTACACATATATTACTATTATGCACAAGAATAAAGAGAAGTCTCTTCCTTGCAATCATCTTGTCTTTTAAAATTTCTTCCTTACATTTCTTAAGGAATTACCTGCTTTCGATCCCCTAAAGGTAACGAGACCAAAGGGTTGCTTTAACCTGAGATCGAACAATCACTCTCTCACTTGGGAACTGCCGCTCGTAAACAAACTCGTATGGTCCAAGCTATTAGACCGCGGGGGCATAAGACTTATTAGGCAGCCCCCGAATTTTAAAGGCCACAGCCACATCCACCCGGGGACTGTTATGTTAGGCAAGCCCGGATAACTCGGGAAAGCAAGCCCACTGGGTGACACGCGAACTAAAAGGCTACGGCCATATTAACACGGCTCGGAGACGTCTGAGACCCGTAATAAAAATAAGGCCTTCAAAAAGAAAATTTTCATAACTGATTCTAAAGGCTACCCTCGGCGAACTATAATCTCAACTACTTACTTTGGGAGAAAATTTCCGGTAACACCGAACCCCCAAAAAGCCTTAAAACAGAATAATGTAAAGGCAAGGTTTGTTTGAACCTTCGAACATAACCTAATTATTTCGTGCTAAGGCATTTCGATGTTTGTGAATACTAATAATAAAGCAAAGGAAAAATTCGAAAGTTGTGAAAGGGAAAGAAAGCCTTATATATTTATCCAAAATTCTTTTTACAAAGGCCAAATGGCCCAGATACAGAATTCTACAACGGCCAAAACAGCCTCAAAAAACAAAAGACAAAAGGATCCTATGTGGCCTAATCTTCACCAGGGGACGCATTATCGCCTTTAGGGTCTCCACCACCTTCGGGCTCATCTGAATCTTCAGATCCCTCGAAATCCTCCTCCTTGAGATAAGCCAGCCTCCTGGCCTTGGCTTCAGATACCTTGGCATTCTCAATTCCAGCCAACAGGTCAAAACCCCGAGTTTGAACTCCCTCGAGGGCTTCCCTTCAGGATTGCCACTTCATATGCTCCACCATATTCCTCACTTGGTCCTGAGCCGCCTCGGCATCGGCCTTATGCTGGGCCACCTTCTCATCATCCTCGGCCTTGACCACAGCAATCTCCGACTTGGCCGCCTCAAGTTCCTTCGCCAGATTTTCTTTGCCTGAAACCGCCGAGCTCAGCTGAGACTGGATCTCCTCAATTATTTTAGCCTGAGACGAGGCCTTTTCCTCTACAGCCTGGAGCTGGACCTCAGTCGACGCCAGTTGTGCCTGGGCAATCTCCTTTTTCGAGGCTAGGAGGTCCATGTTTTTCTTTCACTCTTCGGCCTCAGCTTTCACCGTATCGACCTCCGCCTGGAGTTGCCCGATCTGGTCAAGTCTCTTTTGAACTTGCGGGTTCAGGTCGTTAGCCACTGTGTCTGAATCATCGTCACTAACTTCAAACACTCGTCTTACCTGCTTGACCAAGCTAGCATGCTCCTTCCGAGCCGCTTCTAGCTCAGCCTGGAGTTTCTCACTGAGAAGCTTATAAGCGTCCCTCTTCTCAGTAGGCTCCCGAGTCTCGGCCTCGTGTTAGGTTAACTCCTCCCGATATCGGAGAAAAGTTTCATGGTGAAGCACCGAGGCCTACAAGCACAAAGAGAAATATTACGATTGTTTGCAACTTAAATCTAAGTACATAATAAAGAGGCATTCGAAATTACCCGATTTAACGCCTGTTGAGCTTCATTAAACAGGCAGGGCGCCTACACCTAGTCCATCTTGGCCTGGTCCTCTTTGGATACCAAGCACCAAATATAGCTGGCAATCCCCACGAGGGCGGAGAGAACCCGGGCATCCTCCGGAATTGACAAAATGATTGACCACTTCCGGTCAGGATCTGCACTTGGAGCTGGGAATCGGTCCACTAATCTCGGACTTGAAGATGACCTGTTGGTTTCCGAAGACGGCACCTTCTTTGGTACCGGTAAGTCACCCAACCCGGTGACATCCTCTGAGGCGATAGAATCTAAGCCGTCGAAGAAGTTGTTGAAAGAATCTGTCGCCCCTTGAAGCCCTTCGTTTGAGCGTTCTTTCAGTGTGTGGGACTCGTTGATCATGGAGTCGGTAAATAATGGCGACCCAGAAAGATCTATCACCCCAAGTGTGTCCTTCGGGGCACTTTCCTCCGCTCGAGGAGTACCGGACGTGGTCTCCTTGTCGACCTTCGCAGCTCGGGGCCAAATGACCTCGTCCCTCCCTGGTTCGGAGGCTTCGACCACTGCCTCTTCATCGGCCACCCTGGCTCGAGACAATTTGATACCGCTTCTCACGCGGGTCATCAGCTCGAAAGCTTCTTCTTCTTCGTCTTCGAACTCATCCCTCAATCGACTCACTGAGTCCAATGGGACCTCTCGGCCGCTGGTACTCTCTTTGGACTTACGCACCAGCCTCCTTTTCGATTTTTTCTTCTCCGAGTTCGGGGAACTCGAAGCCTTTTTTCTTTTCTTTTCTTTATCCTGCCTCAGAGCAGATGGTTCGGGGAGGATGTCTTTATCACCAAACGGAGGCCCCATTTCTACATCTTTGTGAAAACCTGCAAAAGAAGAAAAAGTGAGAAGGAGCGCGGCAAGAAAACTAAGTGTTATGCATTCAGCAGAGGAATCTCACTGTGGGAACAGTCCTACCACCGGCCCTTCGAAAGTTCACACCATGCGCGCTCGGAATAGGCTTCTGTGACACGATGCCCTCGACCCACTCCTCGAGTCAAGGAACTGCATCCGGCATTCAAGCAACAGTTGCAACACAAAACATCGATAAGAGTAATAAGTGAAATCTTAAAGGCAAGGTTATACTTATGTTTCATGTTCCATTTCTCAGGAAATGGCATGTCCTCGACCGGGGTCAAGTCCGAGGTCTTCACTCGAACGAACTGCCCAACCAGCCTCAGTCCCGATCCTTGTCTATGCTCGAGAATGGGGCCTTACTGGCCCGACGGGCAAGTTTTATTAATCCCCCTCGATAGAGTCGGGGATTGTACAGACGCATGAGATGATCGATGGTGAAGGGACACTTCTCGATTTTGCTTACGAAGAAGCGGAGAAGAATTACTATCCTCCAGAAAGAGGGATGAATTTGACCGAGGGTCACCTCGTACCTGTTACAGAAGGCGATGATGACCGGGTCCAAAGGGCCCAGTGTGAAGGCATAAGTGTAAACACTTAAAAAACCCTCCACGTGGGTAGTAATCGATTCCTTCGGGCGTAGGCACCACCACGTGCTCACCGACCCAATTGCAATCTTCCTTGACCTTGGAGAGGAGACTGTCGGTGATCGAGCATATATATCTCGAAACCGGCTCACACCGACCTGGTACGAAGAGGTTTTCTTGACCTTGAAATCAGCACTGGTCGGGCACCCCGTAGGAATGTACATCTTCAAGGAGGGCTCCGGTGTCTTTTCCTCAGTAGCAGCAGATGGAACATTTTCCTCTTCAGTCGGCCGTGAGTTAGAGGAAGCTTCTTTTTGAGGAACGGACTTTGAGGTCTTCACCATTCTTTTTGGGAAGTTAAAGGAGAAGAGGGAGTTTAAAGAATATGCTTGATAATTTGAGATAAAGAACATAAGTTCTTATAAGATGATTTCAGAGTAATCAGAAAATTGATGTTTGAGAATATAGAGATTTCTAATGTACGAGGGCATAGGTTTTTGAAAGTAAAGTTTGAATGAGATGATGAGGAGGTATTTATAGTTTGCAAATGACGGTTCAAAACTTGTAATGGCTGACAAGCAACTGGCAAACATTTAATGCCATCAAGACGTGACTAACGAGATGTTTCGTCAGTTTTGTCATTTCGGGCGCGAAGTATCGAGACGAGGATCGAGGGCTCATATCATTTCTCGTCATTTACTCTCCAAAAAACGAGGAGATTATCTGTATACGGTCAAAACCGGGCTCATCTATTGCATGACGGATCGGGACCGAAACATGATGTATTGAAGATCGACCCCGGATTCCATCGAACCAAAGTACGAAGTCAGAACATACGTCTTCAAGATCTTCGAGCCCGTGATTCCGGAACCGACCCCGACTCCGAATAAGCTCGAGGAAACATTATCGGACCCAATAACGGAAGGCCGAAATATCTGCAACCGATCGGATATCACGGCGGGAATCTCGACATGTATCAATGAGAGACCAATTAAATAGCAAACCGCGAGATTTCTTACCTTTTATAGAATTGTATATAAAGCAGGACTTCCCTACTATATAAAGGGGGTCTGATTCTTTGTAATACACATTGTAACGATTCTTTGTAATACACATTGTAACACACGTCCAAAAGCAATGTACTGTTGTTATTAGTTCTTATTATCTTATCATTCTGTTCCGGCATCGATTAAGGTACTTTTGACTCGAGGGTGACCTACCTTTAAGGCCAAGATTGTCGAACTTGTGTGGTTTGCATTTACTTTTCTATCATTAATTTCAAAATTAATTTGATTTCTCAATTTGTATCAAGTTAGATCACGTATCCTTAAAATCGCGTAAAAATTCAATTGTTATCCGATTTCGAGGGTAAACAATTACACAAAAGAGTTGTGGCCAACAATGTCCAGTTGTTTGTAATGTTGAACAAAAATAGTGAATGGATCATTCAATTAACTTATGTAATATTTGCTTAAATAAACAAGGGCTTAGAAGGCAGAGGTCAGACCATGTTGACCAAATCATGGCATGTCCCTTGTATGGTTGTGGAGTACCTCAAATTCAGGTGCCCAACTATGATATCAAATAATCCATATGATTCATATTATTTGTCCTTTAAAGTGTTTGTATACCCCTTAATATTGACGTTAATAATAAGTGTATTTGTCTACGTCATGACTCCCTGTGAATATCAAATTTTAATCCCTTTGATTGGTTTAAAAGAGAAGCAGGGTTAGAAAGGAATATTTTGACATTTTCCCCCCTTCACATGCATATTAAAACTAAGCCCGTGACTACTTCTTTATGTTTCCTCAATTTTATACAGATATTTACTTACTTGTTAGATCCGAATCGAGAGTGGTGTGAGGTGAGCTAATAAATTCAATAACGCAAATCATTATCACTTATAAATGGCTACCTAATATAATTTAGATGTTAGTTCTTAATTTGGCACCTAATGTTGGACCATATATCACTATCTAACTTATTTGACTGCTAACAACCAAGAGAAGCAAACCCTCCATTTCCCAACCCAAGAACCACAACATGGTTATACTTTACAAAAGCAACGGAAAATTGGTGATCGTTGAAAACCATATATGATCTAAAATTTAATTTATAAGTTTGTAAACTTTATGGATGAATAATGAAATGAAATATTTCTACCTTATTTCCTACGACGAATTGCGTGCATTCGCCAAACTTCTAATGAAATTTTATTTCATGTTGTACGCCTACCATATTAAGTTTCAGAGTCTTTTGATGTGGTTATCTCTACTTATATTTAACTTGAGGTTATCTACTTATAATTGTAGGAAAAAAAAGTATTAAGTGGTTTTTCTTACCCGTAAAAGTTTACTTTAGAGGTCAATCAAATCTTAACGGAGACAAAAATATATTTAGTAATTTATTTTTATTTATCTAAATTTTAGTGAATAAAGTGATCACATACATATATTTGGTGGGAAAGTCGAGATAGGCCAATTTGACCGGACATTACTGTTATAAAAAATTGAGCCGAAAGTAAGTGACATACCAATGAATTACTCTTTTCGGTCTATAATTAGTGACTTTTTGGCCTCTTTATTTTGGTCTAGAATAAGTGTCCTTTTATATATCAAGAAGGAATTAATTTTATTTTTCTAAAATTTGTCCTTGTTTACATATCTCAATGTGTTAAAGTTAACAATATGCAAATTTGAATTAAGGGTAATTTAGTCAAAAAAAAATTATCTAAAAATTACTCCTTCCGTTCCAGTTTATGTGAACCTATTTCCTTTTTGGTCCGTTCCAAAAAGAATGATTCCTTTTTTAAATTTTGAAACAATTTAGCTTAAACTTCCAATTCTACCCTTAATGAAAAGCTTTTATAACCAGACAAATACTTCGAACCCCTTTTTGACTTATTTAAGACCACAAATTCCAAAAGTCTTTATTTTTTTAAACTTTATGTCCAGTCAAGCAGATTCACATAAATTAGCATGGAGGAAGTAAAATTTTCTTAAGGAGTATATCAAAAGTCAAAATGTCACTTATTACGGACGCGAGGGAGTAACTCTTCATCTCCAACCCTAACACCAAATTTCACACCAAAATTGTGTAACACCAAATTTATTCCAACCATTACACCATTTTTACACCAAAAAAGAATATTTCTTTTTATATTCTTCTCTCTCTTCTATATTATATTATTATCTTCTATTTAAATTTTATTTTTTATTTCCTTCAAACAAATTCTATCTTTGTTCTTTTTTCCATATTCATCACATATGATTCACATTCACCACTTATATAATCATTTATTATAAAATTATTTTAAAGGATAAATCAACTAAAAGTGAAATCATTGATAAAAGATAATTAAATAAATATTACATCATAGTCAAATTTAATTGATTTTTATTTCCGATCGTTTTACTCTGCCGTTTTTTAAATTCAAATACAAAAGATTGCAACTCTTCGGATTCTTTCCGAGTTTTCAAACGATTTTATCCCTTTTTCTTTCTGTGTTTTCAAACGGAAATCTTGAAACAAAGGAGTATTGTTTTTGGAAATTGTAGACTGCTTTTGATTGTTAATCTTTGCTCAAATCTGCACCTACTGCGAAAATTTCTTGGAAATTCTTGATCTCTACTTTAAAGGCTTTGACAGTAAAAAGAATTGACTACAAGAGAATCGGTAATTTCTTCCGGTTGAATTCCGATCACTGTGACTACAAGTCCTGCCATACATAGTGACAAACCCTCCGTCGGATTATTACATAAAATTGGTACTGTGTTTTTATTTGCGGTGAAATTACAGTAAAATTGACAAATCGTCAAACTTTCCTATACACGGGTTTGGGAGCAGCAGCATTCAGCGAATTTGGAAGTCCAGACATCCCCGACTGTGATCCAGGTTCTATCTTTCTTAAATTGTATTTGCACACATCTATTTACTGTTGCCTTGCCGGCAATTTTGATTGGATTGATTGCTTTTTCTATCTTCTCTACTAGTGTTTTAAGATTATGGTTTCATCTATTCATTTTAGTTCTGCGTTTGCATAGGGGTAGTTTCGTAGACGTGGTTGTTTCATTGTTCTAGTGTCTGCTCACGTTACTGCTCACGTTATTGGTTCTTAGTAGTAGTGTTTACCTAATACCTTTTGCTTATAGTGGCGGTAGTGAACGATGTGAAAGTAAGGTCATGTCCTCGGGTAGGGCTGGGGGTGGGGGTCCAGGGGTGGGAAGGGGGGTAAGAAAGCCTTTAGACTGAGAGTTGGGTCTTGGAACATTGGTACGTTGACGGGGAAGTCTGTAGAATTAGGTAAGATTCTTCAGAAGAGGAAGATCAACATAGCGTGTGTTCAGGAGACTAGATAGAAGGGTACTAGCGCACGAGATGTAGACGGGTTTAAACTATGGTACTCAGGGAGCACTGGGGGTAAGAATGGGGTTGGTATTTTAGTTGACAGGGAGCTCGTGGTTGAGGTTAGGAGGGTAAATGATAGGTTGATGAGTATTAAGCTGGTAGTTGGTGGGTTTACTGTAAACGTGATTAGTGCATATGCTCCTCAGGTAGGTTTGGACCAGGAGGTCAAGAAGCAATTCTGGGAGGATTTGGACGAGATGGTCCATAGTATCCCGCACATAGAGAAGTTGTTCATTGGCGGAGATTTCAATGGTCATATTGGGGCTAGTGCTAGGGGTGATGATGATGTACATGACGGGTACGGTTTTGGCGATAGAAATGGGGGAGGTAATTCTCTGTTGGATTTTGCTAGAGCTTTTGATTTGGTTATAGCTAACTCGAGTTTTCCGAAGAGGGAAGAGCACCTAGTCACTTTTCGGAATTCAATGGGCAAGACCCAGATTGATTATCTTCTCTGCAGGAAATGCGATAAAGGTCTGTGCACTGATTGCAAGGTCATCCCAAGTGAGCACCTCACAACTCTTCATAGGCTCCTAGTTATGGACCTGGAGATCAAGAGAAGTAGGAGGAAGAGGGAGGGGTGCAGGTAACCTAAGATCAAGTGGGGTAACTTGACCAAGGACAAATCTCAGGAGTTAGGGGAGAAGTTGTTGGCTATAAGGGCCTGGAGGAGTAGAGGGGACGCATCTAGTATGTGGTATACGACTGCGAATTGCATTAAGGTAGCTGCTAGAGAGGTCTTAGGGGTCACGAAGGGCTCTCCCGGGGGTCATAAAGGGGACTGGTGGTGGACCGGAGAGGTTCAAGGTAAAGTGGAAGCTAAGAAAGCTGCTTATTTGAAGCTAGTGGAGAGTACAAACGAGGAGGAAAAAAGGACTTATCGGGAGTGTTACAGAAAGGCAAAGAAAGAGGCGAAGTTAGCGGTTACGACGGCTAAGAACGCGGCGTTTGCTCGTTTGTACGAGGAGCTCTAGGGCAAAGGCGGGGACAAGAGGTTGTACCGGTTGGCCAAGGTGAGGAGAGGAAAGCCCGCGACTTAGACCAAGTCAAGTGCATCAAGGACGAGGATGGCAAAGTGTTGATAGACGAGGCACTTATTAGGAGAAGATGACAGTCATACTTCCATGAACTGTTGAATGAGGAGGGGGATAGACACATTGTGCTGGGAGAGTTGGAGCACTCCGAGAGTCGGCGGGATTTTGGGTATTGTAGGCGGATTACGGTAGAGGAGGTGGAAGGGGCGATGCGTAAGATGTGCAGGGGCAGAGCGACGGGGCCAGACGAAATTCCGGTGAAATTCTAAAAAAGTGCAGGGCGGGCAGGTTTGGAGTGGCTCACTGGGCTATTTAATGTTATTTTAAGACAACGAAGATGCCCGAAGAATGGAGGTGGAGTACGATGGTTCCGCTTTACAAGAACAAGGGTGATATCCAAAATTGCAACAATTATAGGGGTATCAAGTTGTTGAGTCACACTATGAAGGTTTGGGAGAGGGTGGTGGAGGCCAGGGTGAGGAGGTGCGTGTCTATTACCGAGAATCAGTTTGGATTCATACCGGGGCGTTCGACTACGGAAGCGATTCATCTGGTAAGGAAATTAGTGGAGCAGTACAGGGAGAGGAAGAAGGATTTGCATATGGTGTTTATTGACCTTGAGAAAGCATACGATAAAGTACCGAGGGAGGTCCTATAGAGGTGCTTGGAGGTTAGTGGCATTCCGGTAGCGTACATTAGGGTGATTAAGGATATGTATGATGATGCTAAGACTCGGGTGAGGACTGTGGGGGGGTGACTCGGAGCATTTTCCTGCGGTGATGGGGTTGCACTAGGGATCGGCTCTTAGCCCATTTTTATTTTCCTTGGCGATGGATGTACTGTCGCGACACATCCAAGGGGAGGTGCCTTGGTGCATGCTATTTGCTGATGATATAGTGTTGATTGACGAGACGCTTAGCGGAGTTAACGCGAGGTTGGAGGTTTGGAGACAGACCTTGGAGTCTAAAGGTTTCAAACTGAGTAGAACCAAGACAGAATACTTGGAGTGCAAATTCAGTGATGGGACCCATGATGCAGATGTAGAGGTTAAGCTTGATGCTCAAATTATCCCCAAGAGAGCGAGTTTTAAGTATCTTGGGTCTATTATCCAGGGTAACGGGGAGATTGACGAAGATGTCGCACATCGTATCGGAGCGGGATGGATGAAGTGGAGGCTCGCTTCCGATGTTTTGTGTGATAGGAATGTGCCGCTAAGACTTAAGGGTAAGTTTTATCGAGTGGTGGTTCGACCGGCTATGCTGTATGGGGCTGAGTGTTGGCCAGTCAAGAACTCCCACCTGCAGAAGATGAGAGTAGCATAGATGAGGATGTTGAGATGGATGTATGGGTGTACCAGGAGAGATAGGATTAAGAATGAAGCTATTTGGGACAGAGTGGGAGTAGCCTCTGTGGAGGACAAGATGCGGGAGTCGAGGCTGAGATGGTTCGGACATGTTAGGAGAAGAAACATTGATGCTCCTGTCAGGAGGTGTGAGAGGTTGGCTATGGAGAGTTTGAGAAGAGGTCGAGGTAGGCCTAAGAAGTACTGGGGAGAGGTGATTAGACACGACATGGCGTTGCTTCAGCTCATTGAGGACATGACCCTTGATAGGAGGGTGTGGAGGTCGAGGATTAAGGTAGAAGGTTAGTAGGTAGTTTATAGTTGTTCACCGATAGTCTTAGTAGCATGCATGTCCCTTCATATTCTTAGATTTCTATTACGTTATGTGGTTGTGTTTGCCTCAGGTATTGTATTCCCTGCTGCTATTATTTGGTACTACTTATCCTTTATCCCTCCTCCCCCCTTTTTTTTTTCTTTTCCCTTCCTTCCTTACTTTTCACTTCTTCTTCTTGTCCTTCCTGAGCCGAGGGTCTATTGGAAACAGCCTCTCTACCTGCATTAGGTAGGGGTAAGGTCTGCGTACAAACTACCCTCCCCAGACCCCACCTATTGGGATCAAACTAGGTTTGCTGTTGTTGTTGTTGTAGTCAAATTTAATTTAAGTACCACATAAGTATTCAACTTTCACCTCTATTCTCCCATAAATGCTCGATTAATGCATTACGAAGTGCAAAATGCGCATCTTTATCCTTATTTTTTTTGTGTCGAGCTAAAAATTATTCAAATAAGTGATCTTCATCTATTGCCATTTCTATCGTAGGAGCTGGACATTCACGTGCATCTTGAATTGGTGCATTAAGATCACGCTCGTCCTCAATTATCATGTTGTGCAGTATAATACATGTGGTCAGTATATCACATAGCATCTCTTTTCTCCAAAAACGTGACGGGCCTGCAACAATTGCAAAACGAGATTGCAAAACTCCGAATGCACGTTCAACATCTTTTCGACATGATTCTTGTTTCATTGCAAAATATTTATTCTTTGCTGAACGTGGCTTCCAAATAGTTTGCACAATAGTAGACCAAAGATTTTGAGAAGTTTAGCGATGTTGATTTTGGAAGAACAAAAGCAAGAAAGCATAGCTCTACTTATGTATCATCGGAGTTTGAGGCTCCTACTCCATCTTCACAGTTGGTATCGTCTCCTAACTTGTCATCATTTTCACTAAATTTAAATGAGGATGTTGCAGGTGAGGCCACATCATCACAACGACCTATTGGGGTAAATAAAGCAAAATTGAAGAGAAAAATTGTTGAAGATTACGTAAAAATGATCCAATCGGAAAATAGTCGGCTTGTTGAGGCGATGGAAAAGTCAAGTAAGTCAAGAAATGAAGCTTCAAGACAAAAAGAATTCAAAGAAGAAAATAAAATTTTATTGACGAAGTTGAATTCCATTGACGATCCAAATCTTCGTGAATTTTTGCGACAAGAACAAAAACGAATAATCGATAAAAGAAGTCAACAATTTCAACAACCACAAGCACAACAATCTTCTACCCCGTTCTCTCAGTTTTTTAGTAATTTTGGTGCACCTGGAAATGACATACCGGATTACTAAACTTATGTTTTATATTTTTTAATGTAATTTCAATTTTAATGTATCCTCCTTTGATGTACTTTTAATTTTAATGTATTTTTATTTTATGTATTGTTAATTTTCTTTTTTAAATTTTAGTTTTCACTTTTCAATTTTAGCAACATTAGATATCTTACATTTGCATTTTTCATTTTTAAATAATGGTTAATTTTCTTTTTATACAATTATAATAATAATAAAATTAACTTATAATTTATATAAATATAATATATACAAAATTAATATATCAAAAAAAGGATATAAAATTAAAATTATAAAGATCTTAATATAAAAATTAATTATATACACAATATAAGATAAATTAAAAGTCTAGAAAAATAAAAAGATGAATAAAATAATAATAAATCAAATTTGATGTTGATGAATAGTTTGGTGTGACACTATTCACATACTAAAATGGTGCAAAAGTTGGTATTTCATTGAAGCAAAAATATACTAAATTTTATACCAAATTTAAATTTAATGCAAAAATAGTGCACCATTGGAGATGGCCTTGTATGAAGATGATAAAGAAAAAGTAAGTCATATTGATTAGTGTTTTTGTGGAGATTGATGATCTAATTCATAATGTGAAAGCATGAGAGACAGGTTGGAGAGGGGTGTTGGCCCATATGTTGATTCAGACACTTGTGTTTGTGACAAAATACAAATGAAATAATTGAACGTGAAAAGCTTTACTTTAGCTTTGACCCCCCATCTTCTCTTTCTTCTCATTATTATTATACAAAATTCCGAATACTATTTGCCCCAACAATTCCCAAATACCCAACTCCTTTTTTTTCTTTCTCTCCTTACATTTCCATTAGAGGTCCCCTCTCTTTTATCTTTCTCTACAGTAAAGACTGCTTTTTTCGTCCATTTCTATCATCTTTGTGACTTCAGGTACTATTTTTTGAAATGGTCCAGTGATTTACTGGGTGGGTTTTACTTTGTTTTTTAGCATATGGGTCTTTGTGGGGTTTAACGATTTTTCTTGGTAGGGTTTTCTTGGAAAGAAAAAGGTGGGTCTTTTGCACAAGATCTGTGTGCTTTCATTGACCCTTCTTCTATTTCTTTTTCATCTATGTGGTGGGGTTGTTCTTATCTTCTTCTTTTGTGGTCTTTGATTGCTCTTTTAATGTCTGCATTGATTATTTTGCTTTCTTCTTAGGTTCTTGTTTCCTGGAAAAAAAGAGAGGAAATTGGCCAGTTTTTGAGGTAAATGTCCTAGACATTAGATGTTTTAGACCTTTTATTGTTACTGCTAATAATGATCTGTGACTGCTAATTAATCTGTGTTGGATAACATGGTGTTTTGCATAACCTACTTATTAAAAGAAAAGTCTATTTTCACCTTGTAGACTTTGATTTCATCATTCCTACCCTTTGTGTGTTTCTCCTTTTACTAATTGTTTCAGATCTTTTCTCTTTCCATTTTTCCCTTGTTTTTATCTTGAGATGGTGCACTGGATTGTCCTTTTATAGGTTTTTTGCTTCAATATAGGAACTGTTGACTGTGATGTGCTGTGAATTTTTTTTTTTTTATGGTTTTCTTGTTTCAATGTAGGAAGT